ATGAATTTTAAAAATTAAGGAGATTGAAATGGAATTCTAAAAAATGTAGGTGAACCAAAGATGATTGTTTCATGCCAATTTGTAAGTGACCACTGGATTTCCCTTGTGTTTTGCTTTTTTCTTTTTTCTTTTAATTTATCTTGCTATAATATATTAGAAGAAATTTGCGATCACAAAGGATGTAATGAAAAAGAATAAAACCAAAGAATTAATAAAATATGAGAGGGTGACTGGCGCATGCATGTACAATTTATTATTTTTTACAATTGCAATTATAATTATAACTACAATATTTATTTAATGCACTCGGAGTTAAAGGGAGCCGCCCGTCTACTGAATAATTATTTATTATAGCTGGGTAAAGAGGAACATTTAAGAAGAAAAGAAATAAAATTCCATATTTATTTGTAGCTACTTGTAACTTAATTATTCAGATTTTAGGTTTGTTGTTTAGATATTATTAATTCAAGTTTTATAAATTTTATAATCATTAAAAATTTATATGATAATTAATTTTAAAATTTGTAGAATTAATCAAAATATATATAAACTAACTTGAATACTCACATTAATAAAATAAAAAAACATGAAAATTTCATGTATATAAATAATTCATAAAATCAATCAACTTAAAATATATAATATATATTAATAAAATGTTAGAACACTGTAATTTTTAACATGATATATATATATATATATATATACACACACACACACACACATATGTACTAAGCTAACTCAAAATATTCTTAACTCAGAAGAAAACACTACAACACCACTATATATGCTTCTAATGTTTTTTCTTATAAATATTTTTAGAACCTTGAAAATGTAACCGGAATTTATGTTCGGTGGGTAACAATTTGGTGGTGGTAGAATTGCAAAAACATTGTCATTTTGAGCTGACGTAAAATCAATCACATAATTAAGGGACTCATTTGTAGACAGCAGTTTCTGTATGTTTCGTGTATCTCCCCCCTGGATTGACACTCAGTGATGGTGTCGTGGCGGGGATTTGCTGGCCGTTGATATTTGAGGAGTCAACCTTTTTTTGGAAAGGGTTTGTTACCGAGCCTCATCTTAGGCAACCGGCAAAGGACGACACCGTTTCGATTGCTTTCTGCATTGTGGAGTTGGCATTGCCTTATTGGGCGATGTTATTTATGTACATGGACCCATCCAAAAATTTCCCTCTCGTCGTCGTCGTCGTCGGTGTGGAATGGAAGGAGTGCCTTTGCTTACGTTTCAAAGGAAAGATTTTTTTGCTTCCAATTCAGGAAATTGAAAGTTAGGGATAACCAGGAATTACTATAAAAAGCTTAGAAGGATAAAATATATTAAGCACTGTTGTTGTTAAAAAAATAAAATAAAATTACAGTGTTGTAGTGTTTTTCTTTTGAGTTTGATGTTAAAATTCCTTACAATTTGAGTGAGCGAGGTGGGTGTTATTTGAGAATGTTATTTAACATGTTATAATGTTTAGTTTAATATGATGTAAATAAAATATATATTATATACAAAAACTGTAATAAAATTAAAATTATTTAGCTCTTTAACTTTAACATAAACATTATACAAAACTATTAAAATTATATTTGAGGTGGTGATCTATCGGGAAAAAGATATTTTGTTTCCTTGTAATTGGATTTGATTTTTTTTATACATGTTTATAATTTTTATGATATTTTATCTGTTTGTTGTATATACAAATTATTTAATGAGCTTAAAAATTAGTAATGATATACGTAAATTAATCCAAACATTTCAAATTATATATTAAAAAAAAAATACTAAAACTAGAAAGCAAAATATGTCTTTTCACTTGTTGTTGAAACTCGGATGTTTAAAAAATAAAATTGTTATCAAAGATTTAACTCTTTTCCCTTGAGACTTGATTGTCGGTAAATAATATTCTTGTAAACAGTCTCACATAATTCCAAAGATTTTACTTCTAAATCGCATATCCTTTCAAACTTTGCGAATCAAACAAACAGACTTGGTTTTCTCTCTATGTAGCTCTAGAAATAAAAGGCAAGTGGAAAACGACTAAATTAAAAGGACATCACAAGATTGCAAAAAGACTCCACAAGAATTGGAAAAACCCAGAGATGCCAGAATTATTAATTCTGACATTTTTTTATTTAGAAAATTAAAATATTTAATATATATTAAACCTTAATTTAAAAATGTTTAAGACTTTAAAATTGTAGTTAAACCTTAATATTTTAAAAATGTTTAAGACTTTAAAATTGTACAACTATAAAATAGATGAAACTAATCAGAGAGATTTAATGAATCTAATAAGGTATTGTTTATGGGTTGACAAAGAGTAGTTTTATTTATCAAAAAATTATTTTACAATTAATTAATCCAAGTCTAGTACTAGTTTGATCACTAGCCAAGCATGTTCCTTAAGTCGGCAACCATGCACATTTCCTAGAACTCCATTCGTCTAAAAGTATTCATGCTCTACCGACTCAATTTTAACTTTTCAAGTCATTACTATATAAATTTTTAAAAAAATCTTATAATCTTTCAATATAGCATTGAATTTTTTTTATTTGAAAAAAATTGTCAAGGAATTTTTTAAATTAATTTCTTATTTATTGATAGTTAATTTTAAACATGTTGCTAATTTATGTTTAACTACTTATATTGAAAAATAAATTTAAAAAAAAAATTAACATAAAAAGAAAAAAAACACAATCAAATTAACAAGATCCCAAGATCACAACTTAAAAATCCAAACTAAGAAAAGGAAAACATAAAACATAAAACAAATTATAGAAATAAAAGGAAAAGGATATAAAGAACGAGATCCGAGGAAGATGATTACATGAAATAAGAGGATTCGAGGAGGGTTCAATCTTTTATTTTGCAGATAACAAAAAGAAAAAAGAAAATGCGATAAAAAAAAAAGACTTGTGAAATGTGAAACTGTACGTGTGGTGTTTATTTTATGTTAAAGAAAAAAAATGTTTTCTAGGGCTAGAAGAAGAGGAAAACATTTTATTTTTTAAAAGTTTTTTTTTTAATTAGATTTTTAGAATACATCGAACACGAAAATATATGGAAAGTACTTTTAGAAAAAATGGTTTCCATGAAACAAACAAATCTAATTCAACCTGTTCATTACTATTGCCCTTCTTAAACTGCATTACAAAAACATGTCGGTACAGAATTTTCCGACCAAACAGTCAAACCTAACATTCTCTTATCAAACCTTCCAACTTTAGATCTCCTCCAGTTAAACAAGTTCTTAATTAGATGCAGTCAATGGTGCTAAGATTCAGCTTTTACCTCGAACATTTCGATCTCCAAGTTCTAAATTGTGGGAAGTGGGTGTGGCTATAAATGGCACTAGTCATATACTGGTATGATTTCGTTTGTTTTGGCATTGTTGCTGCGGCTCTTGCTGTGTCCTTATGGATGCTATGGAGGAGGGAACTCGCCTCGACATGTGAAGATAATATCATGTATCAGAGCCTCCTCGTGGCTCGACGGGATACTTATGATCGGACCGTGCAAGCAATTGCAATACCAAGAAACCGTGTTGGTTCTGCGCAACTATGGACCAGTTGTTGGAAAGGGGTGCACCCCGGGTGGCTCCTAGCTACTCGTTTCATCTCCTTCCTGGTCATGGCTGGATTCTTGCTGACGGATTTCTTGGAATGGGATGCCACCATATTTGTTTACTACACCGAGTAAGTTGTTCTTGATTATAAATTTCAATTTTTTGCTAATATGGCTTTTTATTACTCCACACATCTTAATTAGTTTATTTCATTTATCATAAGTTCATAAAAAGACTTGGTAAGTAAGCGTTTTACTCATTGCTTAGTGGTTCATTTGGTTTTTGCTACCCAGATAATTAGGTTAATTAGATGAAATTCACCACACAGTGGACTAAAAGGCACGTTCATGGCAAGAAATTCAAAAGGAAA